CATACTCCCCCCGTCCCAGCACCGCCAACGCGTCTACCAGCGCGCACTCATAATCCTCCACCTGAACCCGCTGGTTCAGCAGCTCAATGCAAAAATCCAAACATGCCATCTGCATCTTGGTTAATTTGAACTTATCTTCTTCTTCTGGCTGGGTATCTCTCTGTCCCTTCTCCTCCTCCTCTTCTTCTTCCTCAGTCATCTGCTCATCCATGGGGTCTGGGCTGATGGAGTGTCGCTGGTCGGCTCCCTCTGTGGTGGCTACCTGCCATAATACCCTCCATGTCTTGCGCTGCCGTGGTGTGAACCGGTACTGTGCGCTCGTCCATTCATGCTCGACCTGCGTTCGGGCGAAAAACATCAACATCTGCTGCCATGGCCTCACGTGCTCGGCGATGCTCTCCTCTCCTCGTCCATGTATGCCTGCAACGGGGTGTGCCGGGTCTGGTGTCGCTCTGTGCGGATGGCCTCGATGCGGACGAAGTGGCCCAGCCGTGTGATGACTCGCTGGCTGGTACGGGCAACCTGCCCCATGGCCTCCCGATGGCCCTCGCGGCCAGTTCATCTGGGCACGTGGTGTCATCCTCGGGCCGCTGCACGCAGTTGACCAGATCATTGGGTGCGATGTTGGTCAAGTACACCGGCCATCTGGTCCGCCGCAGCCATGGGTTGGCTTCATCGTGCTCCCCGGCCTGGATGACATTGCTGGTCTGCCGTTGCTGTTCCCGGTAAAACCGCTCCAGCTCATCAATGACATGGCTGGCTCTGTTCTGGTCTGGCGTGCCGGTGTGCTCAGTAGTCTCCTTAGTCTGGATCTGTATGTAGTGGGAGCCCTTGCGCGATGCAAATACCTGCTGGAACTGCACCTTCTGGCATGATCTGTCCACCTCATCCTGTGCTGCCGTACGCTTTTGTGGCGCTGTACGGCCACGGCTGGGATATGGCGACCAGCTGTGCTTGTTCTGCCAGTGCTTGCGCATGGTGTTCATGTTCCCTGCCACATACTGGCACTGGGGATCCCGCTGGCACCTGTAGCCATCATGAATGGGTAGTTCCGGGATTGGTTCATTCAGTATTGTGGGCAGTGTTAACTGTGTAGTATCTCGAGCCACATTGTCCCACTGTTCAATGTTCTCCTTTATCTGCTGAACCACCGCATGCTTTAGCTGATGGGCCTTGCCTTTCAGATGCCGTTCAATCTCGGTTGGCCACACAGCGTGCTTGCACCGGCGGCATATGATAATGAGGTATGATTCACAGTGGATAAATAATTGATGTTCCATGTCGATGCTGGGTCTGTCTTGTGCATTGAATATATATATATTTCCTTCATTCAGTGTCTTTGTGTGAAACTTGACAGATCTGATGTGGTGTGAATGTTTGTTTTTCTGTGGTTAAAATCACTCCAGGAAGAAGCCTTTCAGTTTTCTTATATGTTTTGCTATTTTTATTTACTTTGTTGATCCTGCACCGCTTTGCACCGCTCCGTTGCCTGGGTGAAAATATATATATTTAGTTGGGTCTGGTTGGGTTGGTGGCTTACCCCATCAAACATCGCACCTCAGGTATAGGGAGCTCGACCGCGACCGGGCCACTGCGGGCACGCGGAGGCGGGAGCGGGAGCACGCACGGGCGGCAAATCAGGGAGGGGTATAGATCAAAAGACACCATCGCTATCAATCGGTAACTAGCGCCGGTGGCGTGAAGCCGAGATTTCGT